TTTTTGTAACAGTGATGCCACTCCTGTATATGCCGTTCCTCTAGGGGATTTAATTTTTTTCCTCTGTGATTCTAAGTGATAAATTAATTGAACCAAATCTACTTGGCTTTCTGAATCTTTACATAAAATTGCAAACTGGTAGTAAAATTACAAGTAATTTGCTCTGAGATGATCTTGAGATAATCCTGTGCTATGTAATCAGCTGTTCTGATTCTTTAAGTTAATGTCAAGCTTCTCTTGTACTGCTGCATCTCTGTAAATCTGCCTTTATGCAGGCATGTTAAAAAGCTTATGGGGATCACTTCTGCCCTCTTAATCATCCTTGAAGTAGTTCCAGGGTCAAAGACTGTGTGTTAAAGCTATTTATGTGGTACTGTATAAGCGAATTAGTGAATTTTGGTGAGTTAATGTTGCAAGATTTCTCTAAGATGCACACTTAAATTAATTGTGCCATTTTGCGGTCTAATCCTAGAAGAACTGATAGCTCCTGCGTACTTTGTACTTGGCTGACGCGTGTAACTGGTGATACTCTCTATTACCGACTTACATTCTTAAGACTCTCAGTTAAACTGTTACAAACCCTTTGTGTAGATGGTCTTTTTCAGTCTTTATTAGTTGAGTCAAATTAACTCTTCTATTGAGTCAAACAACTTCTAAGCTAAGCTGGGGCCTGTCGCTGTGTGGGTGTCCTGCTTACATCTGGGGATAGCTATTCTGCCCTGAAGTTGCAGCCTCCCTCTTTGCTATCCCCTTATTGTTATAACGGGTTTTGGTTTTCTCTTTTGTTCACTTTAAGTTGGCAGCTTTGTCTTTCTTCGTTGCCTTATTTTTGCAGCTTTTTTGCTTTAACTGGGGTGAATCAGCACTGTAAGTATCTATGCAGAGCAGTGGGGCCAAGAAGCCATTTTGTGTATGGCACTGGGTGGGTGTTTCCTGGATTTAAATTCCTTCATTATAATTGCAATGCTGTGTTTTTAAAGCGCAGGAGTTGTCATCCAGGTACAGTGATACTCTAATGACTTCTGCATTGCAGCTGTTATGTAGCAACATCCATGTATGTGGGAGATGAAGAAAAGTAACACTGCCACAGTGTTGTGAAGATAACCCAGAAAACTCTTAGTATTTGTCTTCACTATGATATATAATAACAAGATTAATACATGCCTATATTGGATATTAGATATAATATTTAATTACAAATTTGAGTTGCATTATGACTTGATGGGTACTCTACTTTAAACTCTTGTGTTCCTGGTATCTGTCAAGGTAAAGCTCCCTTGAGTTAACCCTAGGTTTAGGTATCTACAAGCAATTAATATACCTGGATCACTGTGGAACTAAAATGGGTAGCAATGTGACATCCTTAATTCAAAAGCTGGGCTCTGTCGTGCCCCTCTAAATGTTGCCTACTCTATTCAAAAGGGAGCATTAGACTTTTTTTTCTTTGTTTTCTTCCATCACAGCCTCAGGTTGGGTTTCTTTGTAATCTTACATGAGCTACATAGCAAGATAAGGGTTTGGTCTGTCTGCAGTGTGCTAAAGGTGCACCTGGCTGCGGAGCACACAGACGTATGGGGCAGTGAGTCAGAGTGCTGATAGGGAGGGTGAAAAATATTTTGCAGAGGGAAGGTTATGAGATGGTCAGTTTGTGATTCTACAGTTCTCCCCTTGTGCCTTCTGTGAAGCTAACTGGCAGCTGTGACGTGGCTTCTGCTGGACAGGGAGGAGAATATTCCCTAAGGACGCAAAGGAGGAATGGCAGGACTCAACGAACAGTTCAAGTTCTGATCTAAGTGGCTTTTGCAGAGAGCAACCCAGACAGAAGAATAACTGTAAGCGTCTAAAGGAGTTAGTGATGGCTGAAACAGTTTCTTGACATTAAGCCATACAGAGTGTGTTGGTCCATGGGCTTTGTGGATCAGTTTACTCCAATGAGGAAGATAAGTGCAGGCACATGCTAGTCTTGCATAGATGTGCATGCTGGTGCATTTTTCTAGCAGCACCTGTGTCATTGCCCAAAGCTCTTGGGAACTACTGATGAGTAGGCAGGAACTTGCTTTTGCAGATTTTTTTTTTTACTTTCACAAATCCAAATATGGTTTGGAATAACTGTTCTGCCTATCTTCCCATATGACATTGCACAAGGATTTTTTTTCTTTCTCACTGCTCTTACTCAGTATGCTCGCATGAGTCACGGGGCAAGGCAAGCCATTTTTTATCTGTATATGGATGCCTTGCATGAGATGAATGTGGTATCTGATGAAGATGCAGCCAGATATCCATTAGCAGACTGCATACCACTCAGGTATGATGGTGTTAGGTGTGAGGAAATACCAGCTGAAGGCTTTGGTCAGCTCTATGTCCCCCAAAGTGGTTTTTGGGGGCAGAAGCTCAGTGTGTTTTCCTGAGAGAGATCTCGCCACATACACGTGAGCTGTGTGCTTCTAGACTGAAGTGTGCCTGCAGAGGTTTGTGCTTGGAGATTGTTCAGAAGCTGATGCAGAATTAATCTGCGTGTTACTTAGCAGAAGCACCGCATTTTCCCGTCTCCTCTTGAACTGTGTTTCATGTCACTTACTCAGGTCGGTAAGGTTGTGCCCCATGCACACACGCTCAGTCACGTGCACACGTGGCTGCTTGTAGCATGATTTTCACACTATTTTCTGGTTTACCAAGGACAGGGCTAATTTAGGTCTCACCAGAGTGCTCTTAGGTGCTTTTTAAATGAGTGTGGCCTGATTTTAATCACCCACTTCAGATTAAGTAATTTAAACCGGGAAGGTGGTTCTCTGTACTTCTGTTGCTATTTGTATTTTCACAAAGGACTTCTTCCTCACTGGTTGGTCTAAACCTTCAAAGTTTATTTGCAGCTAAATGTGCACCCTTTCAGTGTAATTTGATGCTTATTCTTGTCAGCCAGAAGAAATCTGTAGCTTTATACAACTATATTTCATTTAATCCTATATCTGAAGGATGAAACTGCTGTATATGCCTTGCATTAAGCTTGAATTAAAATCTTGATTAAACAGTATTTCAGTTTCCTGTAAATACATTAAATATGAAACAACCATATTCAGCAGTTTTGACATTTTAGTTTAAGTCATTGTGGGCTAGATATCTAGAAAGAAAATGCTTTCAGAAAATTTGCAGATGTGGAAACTAAGAGGGTGCCTAACTAATTTTAGAATCCTTTAGATTTCAACTACATGGACTCTAAATGAATCTCATAAACAATACACTTTTTCTCCTAGTGTCTACAGTTGTGTTTCTATCTTCAGACACTGAAAAACTTGGCTTCATTTTTCGAAGTTTTAAAAATAAATTAATCTTCTTTCCAGCTTTGGAGTTGTTAAGAGACTGAAAAAGAAAAATAAACTCTCCTGCCTTCTCAGTTTTTAATCAGTTTTTCAACTTTGAATAGAGTAATAAACTTTAAGACATTGGTCTCTCTGTAGATACTGCATAGAAAAAAAGGAAAAGTTATTAAGGCAAAAGCTTTTATATTCCAATATATTTTGTGGAAAATTGTGCTCAATATGGCACTGCAATTTAAAACTGTGATTTGAAAGTAAGGTATTTTCTCTCCCAGTGTGTATTCAATTCAAAAAGCAGCTTCCATATATTTGAGAACTCATTGGCTCAAAGTAAAGATTGCAATTGCCTAAAATAAGCATAGACTTTAATACAAGTTGTTTTGATTTTTATACTTAATATAAGCAGTTTCAGAAAGAAAGCTGTGGAACAAAACAATGCTTTTATACTGTAATCTCCATTTAAATAACACAGCACTTCTGGTCAGTGGAGAAGACTTGGCTGCTTTTTGCAGGTGAAGAAACAATAAAATTTGCCAGGCTTTTTGGCATGCCTTGTCCTTGTTTCTTTGGCCTATGACAGATGTTGGATTTGTGTGGGTGTGGTAGATTTATTTATTTTTTAGTAGCACTGACTGAAGAAAAATAGGTTGGGGAGATGACAGTGAGGTCTTTGTCCTTTTAGATCTGAAAATGCAGCAGTCTAAACAGCACAGTGTGAGTGTGGTGAGCTTGAGGACCAGAACAACCCATGGTTTGGTAGATATCTGTCTTAACTGCTTCATAATTTTGCAAAATGTGTTTCTTCCCGGAACCAAGGGGCAATTAAGACTGAATGACTTGAGAGCTGTCTTCCTGCCACATAACAATTCTCTTAGAGAAAAAAGATGTGACTGAGGAGACGTGCAGGTGTATTGAACCCTTCTGTGAGTCTTGGAGACTTCCTGGAGCTTGGCTTGTGATGACACTTTCTGGCTTCTTCTTTGTCTGGAAGAATGACAGGACTGGAACAGCTTCTTCCCACTCGGTTTTATCCACTAGACGCTGATTTCTGGATTTTGCCTGTACAATGAGAAAATCAGTTGCCTTATTAAATGCAAATTCTTATGGTTTGATAGAGAAAGATCTCGATCCACAGGTAAATGCCAAAGATGAGACTTGTGAGCTGCTTTGAAACAGTTCTATCATCTGAAGCTAAGTGATTCAGGGATCGATTTAATAGGCTAATAGTGTGTTTCCCACTTCTAAATCAGGACTGACTGAGAGACTGAACATGCATGCTGTTTGGTGCAAAGTAGAGGTTTTGGTCCGGTTGAAACTAAAGCAGTTTTTACAACACTAGCACCAAAGCCGTGGATTAACAGGTCTTATTGCATGTCCTCCTTCAAGAGTGCATTGTGGTGACACATTCTGATGGCCAGTGTTGCAGAGGAGCTTGAGCCAATGGTACCTGTGTTGCACTAGTGTTGTTGCAGATAAGACTTTGCAGGCCTGCAAACCATCTAGCATGTGTCATGTTCTGTAGCTCTGAAGAGAAAATGCTTATCTGGGTGATGGGGAAGCATTATAATGTGTGATGTCTGGATATGGGGAGAAGTGAAAACTATAGGTATGTTTTCTTCAGTTATTCTTGTTCTGGTTTACATTTGTTTTAATTTCTGCAATGGACTATTTTTGCTGTCTTTATAGGAGGAAGAAGAGCAAGAAGAAGAAGATGATGATGAAGATGATGATGATACAGATGACCTTGATGAACTAGATACAGACCAGCTGCTGGAGGCTGAGCTGGAGGAGGATGAGAACAATGAGAATGCTGGTGAGGATGGAGAAAATGACTTTTCTCCCTCTGATGATGAGGAGCTTGCCAACCTCCTAGAAGAGGGAGATGAGGGTGAAGATGAAGATTCTGATGCTGACGAGGAAGTGGAGCTGATTCTTGGAGACAGTAAGTGTGTGCCCAGCTTGGTGACCGCAGGTGACCTTGTCCTCTGTTTAATGTCCTGGAAAATATGTAAGATCTAAGTCTTCCCTGAAATGACGTAGCTGACTTTCCCCTTGGTGGTATGAAGGGCACAAATCATTGTGCTTGTTCAGCCGTGGCCTCTCAGAGTAATCTGCTGGTAAAAATCTGTTATCTGAGAGAACAACTGTGAGTTCTGGAAAGGAAGGTGTCTCCTTTCTTCAAGTGCTCCCAGGTGTGTGTGTGAGAACTTGGCAGGCCAAGAAACTGTTGTGAAGAAGCCTTGTCTGATTGCTTGCCTGTCCTGCTCTTCAAGGTGACACTGGTTGAACTGTCACCTCTCCTGTCTTCTCTGCCTTATTTGTACCTGTAAGGACAGAGAAACATTTTTTGTCCTTGGTGCTATTCTTTCTCTTTCATAATTGCTTAAAGTGCAAAACCAACGTGGCATACCTGAATTTGCTTCCTTTTTTAGACTGTTCTGAAGCTAACAAAACTTTGGGCATAGAATTTAAATTGTTCTCTTTTCCTGGCTGGCATTCCAAAGATACAAAGATTTGAAAAGTGTCTGTAAAGTGTGTGTGCATGTGTGTTTAAGAAAGAAAGGTCTGAACTTTTTTATGTAGTAATTCAGTTTGGAAAATGATGTCACAAGAAGAAGGTGAGTAGGATAGGGATTTGTGACACCAGATTCTATGCTGGTTTTGCAGCCCAATTTTTATGTATGACTAAGCCACTTCTTTTTGATTTCCAAGCTGTAAAATGGGGATAATGTAGTTACCTTAAGTTAAAAGGTTGGTAAGGATGGGTAATTACCGTGTACAAGGTGTTTCCAGTACTGCAGTGATAGGAGATTAACGTGAGAGCTGAGGTGGGAATTGTGTTCTCTGCTGGAAGATTAAGCATGCTCGACCTCTGCTTTGACACTAAGGCAGCTGGCAGAGTCATTCACACCCTTCGTTTCTGTTAGAGTGTAGATCAGTCTTTTTTCAGGATGTAGCCACATCAGGTTGCCGGTTATTCCGTGGGGTGAGTCTGCTGTTCTCTTGAAGGTAGTAGGTATAAGTGCAGGGCCATATAGGACATTTACATAGCTCACATTCATTGATAGCATGTTGCTGGTCAGTATTTTGGGATTGCAAGTAACTTCTGCCTGTCCCAGGAGCTCCATTCCTGTTTCTTTAGGGGGTGCATGGCCAGAAGCTCTTAAGAGAGCACTCGGTGCTGTAACTTGAATTGTCCAAGGGGCAGAATGGAGGGGAAGTTCAGGCCATTTCAATAACTGTTCCTGTAGCAAAACCAGGTGCTACAGTTACTTGAGGTGTGCTCTGCGCACTGTGTGTTACAAAGTGGCCACATCTGTGCACTGTTTATGGATTGAACCATTTGATGAGAGCTTTGATCCCGTATCACTACGGAGCTGCAGCCAGCCCACGCCGTGGCCCTTAGGTTGCTTAGAAGTGTCTTTGGGAACTTAAAGCAGGGAGGGCAGCTGTGCCAGGCTGATGTATGTGTGGTCCCTGCACAGGGCTTGATGGATGGGGTTCTGTGACTTCTTCATCTGGCTTGCTTTGGTTTCTCAGCCAGCAACAGCAATTAAAATTTCTCTCTCCTTTGCTTATGCTGTATTCCAGAACTAATGTAATGGCCCTGATATAGTTGCAAAATACAGCTCTGAGGCATGGCAATGTATTTAGAGCTCTTCCTACTGCAGACCCTTGCTGTATTTTGGGTGAACCTCCACAGCATACAGCGGGTATGCTTTATAACAAAATACTTCAAAGAACAGTTGGAACAGGGGAGTTGAGTGGCTTTGGTTCCATGTGCTTTAGAAGAGGTTTTGTTTCCTTTTCAGGAATAATCCAACAAAGACCTTTTAAGTATAAATTTGTCTTCCTCCTCCTTTGCTCACCACCTTGGGTAGAGTAGATCAGTCTGTCATGTCCAAAGCAGTTCATGACATTGTGCAGGTCTCTTCAAAAGCTTGTTCTTGGGCCAGTGGGGTGTCCTTTTTGAAATGCACGTGTGACATAAGATGGAAGAAATATATGGAATTCTCACCAGCAGCATGGCTGACTTTTCTTCTGTAATAGAAAGTAGCAACTTCCAGGCATGTCTCTAACCATCTGCCAGGCAGTTAAATGCAGTCAGGTTTCCTTACGGACACAGAGCTCAATATTGGAAGATTGCGTGGTGGACTGGAGGATAAAGAATTAGGGAGTCCGTTTTTCAAAGCTTTACTCTGGTGTAATTGAAACAAAATGAAAACCCCAAAACTTTTTCAGCTACTCTTCTTCTCCAGAGTATCTGGATTGTTGTATCACTTCTCTTTCTTTCCCTCTTACTGCTGCATCACTGGCTGGTGTTTTCCCACTGCCCTCATATGGCTGTAGCTGTTCTGGGAGCACTGAAGACCCCTCAGCTTAGGCTTGGTATGATGGACGGTGAGACTGGAGCATCTCTAGTAGGTCGTAGTGGAAGGGCAGCAGGCTGATCCTCAGGGAGGAGGGTTGGGGGAAAGGATTTGTGCCTTCTGCTGCGGTGTTTGTTTGTTTTTTTCCCTAAGGAAAGCATCTGAGAAGGGGTGAACCTTCCAGAAGGCCTTGTTTACCTTGACAGGCATTTTAAGACATCCAGTGTAACTGAGATGGCTAAGAGGAAGTCTTGGTGTCTTTTCATTTGTTTTTATTTAAAAAAAAAGAAACACTTATTTTTAACACCTAGTTAACTGCAGCATCCAATGAACTCACATAAGAAAAAGAGCCAACGTCACCTCTAAGGTAAGGTGGGAGACCTTTCTGCCAGAGCTGCTACCACTTCCCTCTTGCACTGCTGAGGGAGGAGAGATCTTATGTTTTAACATAAAAAGCAAGTGTGTGTGTGTGTGACTGCTTCTGGCAAATTCTTTCATGTCTTCATTCTTTACCACAATGAAGAAAACCAGGAAGAGAACAATTTTCAGGTCATCTTTAATAAGTGCCATGTAGTTAAATTAATTACAGAAACCTTTGGGTTGCTAAAGGAAGGTTCCAGCTGTGAATGCATGGGTTGCTACCCCCTCAGTGGGGAGGTCCCATGCTGTGCAGAGGGGAGTGACAGGCCAAGAAGAATCTGGTATTGAGAAAGTCTGAGTTTCACGTACTGTGTAATGAATTAGCCCCATGTACGTTATACAGAGGCCAATTTCACCTCATCAGCTTGGTGGCACTGTCAAGCTTGCTTTCACATAGCTTTGAGGACTGGCTGCCAGATGTGTCCAGCCCCCCAGCATGACGAGCTGTTACACTCAGATGTGCACAGTGTGCTGTGCAGGGGTAACTCACTGCTGGTGTCCTTCACCCCACCTTGTCATGGGGCAAAAACCTGCCAGCTAACAGAAACTTCACTTGCTAAAGCTGCTCTCCTCTTGACCCTCTGTTTTAACCAGGGCAAGAAGTCTCTGGTGCAGATACACTAACTGCTTTTGATTGATTGGAAATGCACTAATGGTGCTCGCTGCCTCCGTCGTTGCTGGGGAGTTGCTGGTCTCGAGCAGATGGTGGCCATCTCTTGTAACTATGAATGCGTTGCCTCGCCTGGAAGCCCTGGCAGCTGTGTCCTTCCACAAACCAAACATAATCTACGTGTCTCCTTTTCAGCCGACAGCTCAGATAACTCTGACTTGGAGGACGACATAATCCTGTCTCTGAACGAGTGAGGAGTGACTGCCAGGTGGGGTGTTTGGAAATGGATTCTGCGCACCCCAACCCTTTATCTCCTGGAAAAACCTGAGGAACTCCAGCCCAAGGCTCTACAGTAAAGAGACCTGGGATTAGACCTCTTTTCTCTCTGCCTTTTTTTTTTTTATTTTTTATTTTAGGCCGAGCTGACTCTCCTCTTCAAGGAAACTTCTGAAGATATTTCACAATATATTTTCTTTGTATAAAGTTCTTTCCTAAAGAACAGAAATAGTTTTATATTTAAAAAAAAAAAAAAAGGCAAGTGTTATAGTAAAGAGGGGATGAACTTTGTATTCCTGTAGTACCTTGTTACCATGGGGTAGGTTCGGGGGAGAAAGAACATTTAAAAATAAAAGAAGAGGCATTTTTATGCAACTACTAAGTGAAATAAGAGGATCGTGGTTTCTAATATTGTTGAGGAGTGAGAATATTTTTATTTTAAATATGATTTTATTTTTTAAAACTAAAGCAACAGGTGTTAACACCTGCTAGTGCACCAGTGTGTTTCAGATGCTTCTGTCCTCCAGGGAAGAGTCCTGGCGGTGTTTGGTAACTCGATGTACAGGCTGTCTAAAACAGAGATTCTCGCTGGGATACCAGCTATAGTGGGAGGCTGAAATCCTGGCTTGGCCTAGTCAGAGCCTGGTATTCCTGAAGACGTCATGATCTGGGATTGAAGTTTGAGCCCTCTTTCTCCTCTCTGCCCTTTGTGGTTCAAGTTTTTTAATCTTTTTTTTTCTCTTTTTTTGTTTTTTCCCCTTCTCCTCCCTCTCTTGCCCTCTGTGTGGAAACTGCAAATTGAAGGCCTTTTTCTTTAATGTAAAGTGTATTTATTAAAAAATTAAATACAAATCCTGTCTCTGTTTATGGCTGTGAGTTGTAGCCCTGCCTTCCTCTGCCACCAGTGCAAAAGCAACTCAGAGCTCAGCCAAAGAGCTGCTAGGTATAGCATGGGGCCTGACTGCAAGCAGGAAAGGCAGAGTAAACAAGGGGTGAGATTTCTGAGAGTGCAGCTCCACCCACTGCTCCAGTCCTCAGGGACTCCCAGAGCTGCACCACAGACGTTTCACGGTGCCCCTGGGTTCAGATCGGACTTGTTGGTTTGCCTGACAGCCTCCAATTCTCGGTGGGGTTCTGGGCAGCACGGCACCACATCCTCACTGCGCTGGCTGGGAGCTGGCTGGTGCTGCTAATGCCAGGCTGCGATTTATTTTTTGTTGTTGTTTAAAGATGCACCGGAATACCCTCTATGCGGTTGAGCCGCAGGAAGCGTGCTGAGCGGCTGGGAGCTCTCACCGCCTTGTTCGGCGTGTGGCAGGAGCAGGGAGCAGCACTGGGCCTCCATCCCTGTGCGGTTCGGCGTTACGCAGGCTGCCTCGTGGCTGTACAGGCAGAAGGCAAATGAGGTGCTCCTGTTTGTACAGGACAAGAGGCCCGGCCTGTGGAAGAGGATGAAAAAAATTGCAGTTGACTGTTTGATTTCGCTGCACTGCTTAGCTCTGAGTCAGAGGAGAAAGGTAAACGTGCTCATTGCTTGCTTGGACCAGGCCACTAAATGTGTTATTTATTCCCAGGTGTTCAGATAACATCCAGTCAAGTTTTACCCTTTCGGTGTTTTGGCCACTTTCACAATAGGGTTAGAGGCAGAACAGGGAGCTGGAGGCTTCTCAAGGCTTCTCATTGCTTGAAGAGGAAGGATTTTGTTTTTTAACGATGAAAAGGGATAGCTTTTCTTCCCTCCAGCATTGCATCTACTCAATGCACTTACCAGGGCTACTTGTTAATAATTAAAAAGAAAGATTCTGCTGCAAGTTATAATGGCTAATTGTAACCTACAGAGTTGATAAAGATGAACGAGTTGCTATTACTACAGCATTTAAGACCAGCAATTGGAGCAGCATTCTGATTAAATGAGGGGACTAAAAATTGGATATGCCAACAGCTGTGGAAGCCAGCCTCTGCCTTATCAAAAAAACGTCTTAAGCAACTTTACCTTAGAAAATGTGCTGCTCAGGAAGAGGGGAAAAAATAAAGCATGAACTCAACTACTAATAACCGAGGGCAATGCTGGGCCAGGTGTCTGTATCTTGTTCTGGCATTATACCACAGCTACCATCGGCTGCATCAGTTGCCGTATCAGGCCTGGCTATCTGAGAAAAATTTACCAACTAGTTTTGTGAGACAGACCCAGAGCGTCTAAGATGGAGCTCCTATTTATAAATTTGACTTGAACGTCTGTCACTGTAAGTATGTATGCCATCCCTCCCCGCCCACACCTATTCCTAGCTTTATCGAATAGAGCCAAAGGGAGCATGCTGGGGCCTTAGCCTGTGGGTCACTCCCCTCCCAGCCTGCTAAAGCAGCCGCCTCTGCCTGTCCTGGGCAGGCTCTTGGCCATTGCAAAGCTACTTCCTCCTTTGTTCTTGAAGGCATCCTTTCTGAGTGCTGGGGAATAGGGTGACTCTTGACAGGCTGGCTGCAAAATGAGGATTCAGAATTAAGGACTGGCAGGGACTTTTTTGCTTTTCTTTGTCAGGCCATAAATGCTACAGCTAATTGAGATGGGAGAAGTCTCAGGGTCCAGAAGAAAAACTCATCCCCCTGGCATCATGATTTAATCTATTTAAAAGCGTATACCTATAATCTTCATGTAGCTGATGTGCTGCCAGACAGTATTTCTCCTCTGCAGCAGTTACAGACCTTTGCTGAGGGGGTGGCAGGGGCAGTTAGCTGTCCTGCCGGCTGGCTAAGATGACCTCTACCTGCTGCTGTCTGCAGTGGAGGGAAGCCTTTGCAGGGAAGGATGCTGCGATTTCTCCTATGATGTGAGCAGAGACTTCTCCAGCACCAGCCTGTGCCCTCAGGTCAGTCATCTTCACTCTATGACCCAACCGTGAGTAACTGCTCAGACCCTGGGGCGCACCACAGCACAGCTCCATGGAGCACAGGCTCTGTAACCATCGTGACAGCACCCTTGGAGGGTACAAGCACATGCCACTAGTGTGGTGGGGCAAAAAACCAAGAAAAGTCACATAGGCCAGGGCCTGGGGAGCAGGGTAGACACTCTGTGTTAGCTAAGGGCAGTAATGAAGGTCTGAGTGGCTCATCAGCACTGGCCATGTGCACATGCTGGGCAACCGGGACCAGCTAGGGCTAGCCCTCTTGTCTGTGTTTCTGAGGTAGTAAAGCCAGCCAACAACTGATGGTAAAAAGAGGCTGTATAAGACAGAATATTTACTGAATGGGCATTTTAAAAAATATGGAGGAACTCAAGTCTAAACACTAATGCTCTCAGACCACCCCATCCACCATCTCACACCCTAGTCCTGCTTCTGACTTTCAGATCACCCTAAAAGAGACAGAGACCATCACCTTGTTACGATTACCTTACTGCCATGCCCATACTAAGCTGAAAGACACCCTCTCCAAACAATGACCCCCCCCCAGCACTGTTACACCCACCATCTTCCAACATTACAGTCTCTTAAGCGAGGGCCATGGTGTTCCTCCCACCCCTGCGCAACGTATCTTCTTCCCAGAACTGCCTCCCATCCCCATTTAAGAGCAAAGTCTTGAAAGCTGCAAACTACAGGTGTACTGTTACTTTGCTCTAACTATCTACCCTTTTTCAGACTTGTTTCTGTTGGAACAGCCTGGGTGCATGAGGGGATGGGATAGCAGACAGGACCACAGGACAGGGGCCTTCAGCCTCAGCAAAGCCTGTTCCAGCCATGGCTGTAGCTCAGCTGCACGCTGGAGAGGGGGGAAGGCTCAGGTTATCAGCTTAGAGAGCTGATGCTGCTTCTCTCCCAGGTGTTTTTTCCTCCTTAAGCTCTCCATCTTATTTACACCTGTTAATTTGTTTGCAGGAGGGAGATTTGTTAGTCTTCCATTCATACACACATGCTCACAACCATCAGCCAGGTCACTGGGAACAGAAATCCTATCACTTAAAAAATCTTACCCAACCCGAAGCATGGCAATGCTTGTCTTCTAAAAAACAAACCCAAACAACTCTACATTATCCTTTACTTCTCTTGAAAGGAAAGTGGGAGATGGGGAATTTCTGGTGGTTCCCTGCCTTTGCCATCAAGCAGTTGCAGCTTTTATCACACATTGATTTTTTTTTTTTCCCGATTCTTCACAGCCCCACACCGTAACACACACACACACGCACATGGCCCCACACACCCCACCCAGAGCCCCCTGCCGGTGAGAGGCCAGCCAGGCATTTGTTATTGCAGCCTCAGACTGACCGGACGTCTCCAACACGTAGGATACTCTGACAAAAAGCTCTAACCACTCTATGTCTCTGGCCATAAGGGGTATTTAATAGCACTTGGTTTCAGATAACACTTAACGGTTACAATTGTTGACATTTGGCACTGTCTACATTACAACAGCATTGGGGACTTGGTCACAAAGTTAAAAGTCGGCGTCCCTGTAACCGTGTAAAACCAGGGGCAGTCCAGCTACCCTGTGCCATGCAGCCGTGATGTGATGGTGTCCTCTGCGCTGCCCAGTGCAACCCAGTGCGAAGAGCCTGGAGACACAGCTTGGCTGCTGGGAGTAGCAGCGTTCCTCCTCTGCTCCCACAGCGTCAACCGGTGTTCCCTGAGCCCTGCCCCTCCCAGCAGCCAAGCCAGCTCACCTCTCACTGAACTGTGCCTGCACACCATGGACAAAACCCTCCGTGGCTTTGTAGCTGTACTTGGGCCCTTACAGACAGAATTACATTTTTCTGGGGTACAGAAGATGCATCAGCAAGTGAAATACTAACCCCCCTTCATGATCACACTAACTCGTTAGATTTACTTTTAATATAATCACAGTATTAAATGTTGCTTTTAAAAAAAAAAAACAAACAACCCATACTTGTTGATATCAATACATTATTAAATTAAGCAATTGCTCATACATCATCGGCTGATGATGTTCCCTACTGTGAAACTGCAGGGTTAAAAAAAAAAGAATAAGGTCATAATTAGACTGAGTTATGCTCCCTGATATATAGGTTTTTGATACCAGTCATACCTGAGAGCACAGTTTTAAAAGGGCCTTTGGCAGCCATCAGCAAGTGAGTCTGCTCGGTCACAGAGACTGATGCAAGAAAGATGGGTGTTCTTTCAGGATTTTTGTTGACTTGCTTACCACCAAAACAAAACCAAAAACCTACCTGCAAATGTAAAGGAACTTTAAAATGTGTTTCTACCCCTACACAATTTTATGTGAGCCTCCTAAAATCTACAGACATAATTTTAAAAAATAAAAATATCCCCAAACCAAACAGTGTGGATTTTAACTCAAATTTGAACTAGTTACTGCATCCTTACATTACGGAGCAATCAGAGGTGCAGATGCCCTGGCTTCTCTCCTGAACAACTGTCTCCTACCACAGACAGAAGAGGTGACAGAACCATCCCACCTTAAAATTCAAATTTTGATCTTCAGTTTCCTACAGTCATAAAGAGGTTGCTTGCAGTAACATAACACGTTTTCAGACAGCCAGACACGCTAACTTTTTTTTTTTTTGTAAGCCTGCAAACAAGTTTCAATTTTAGGAAAAAAAGTTTGCTATCTTTCAGGAAAGGATTTCAGATAGTGCAACGTGATCAACTACACAAAAGGGTACCTACAGTTTGTCAAAACCCCTTGTGCCCTTTACCTGCTTGTCTACATCTAATACAAGCCCAAGAGGGTTCCCCCTTAAAACTACTTATTTTTTTTCCTCCTGCTTGTCTTTTGATTTCCTTTTATAAAAATCCAAAATGTCAAGTCTCATTTTTGTTTCACCCAAGAGTATCTGACTGAGACCAGCAGTATCAGGTGTTCTCAAACCTCACAGAACTGAATACTTAGTTGACTCCTTTGTAGCAAGCTTGTTGCGCAGTATTAGCAGTAACTTTGTTATTGTTTAGAAAACCCACTTCCATTCTCGATCAGGATTTGCTTCCTAGCTAGCTGGCTTCCTGGGGAGTTTGAATCCTCAGAGAATCAAAAGGAATGCGTCTAGACTCAAGATTTATGAAATAAAAAGCAAACAGGACAAAAAAGAAAAGATAGAGAACCAACCTTTCAGTCTCTCATACAGCACAAAGAACCACCCCGCCTTCCCCCTCCCACCTTCCAGGACACGTATAAAGAGATGGAGGAGGTGCAGGAGGCTGGAGTCTGAGAAACTGAAAACGGGTTGGGACCATCACCTTCCAGCTCTTGACAGCACAGGGAACCAGCCCTTCCTGGGCCATAAAAACTAGGATACCGCACAAGTTTAGAAATCCATCAGTGAACAAGGCTTTACTGACAACTTTTCATACAATTAAAAAATAAAAATACAGAACAACAGCGGACAGTGTCACATATTAAAAACGAATAAAATGGGCTCTATTTAAATGGTATTAAAATTAATTGGGAACTAAAAATCTTACCACTTTGGTTGAGGTGTTTTGAGCCTCCACCAAAATGATCAGCCTTAAAAACAACTGGGTTGTGTGACACACAAAGAAAACATGGAATTTGAAAAGACAGTGTGGGCTAGGCAGTGTCTTTGACTATAACTATCACCATATGTTCTTCTTCTAACTTTCCCAATGTCCTTAGTGCTGACTGGAGGTACTGCTGAGAGAATTCACAAGGAGGGAACGCATAAAGCATGCCTGTGCTGTCTCTGCCCTTCGCCCCTCCCACGGGCAGGCTGATAACCCCAGCAGCCTGTTTCTGTTTCAAGTAGGAGACCAGATTCCTGAGAAGCCGTCGCTGCAAGCCAGGCTCTACAACAGGGAAGGTCCCCTCAGCCCCTGCCGGGGCGGACTGGGTCGCCAGGAGCACAGCATAGCCATTGGGGCTGCCTTGTTTGATGCGGCGGGTTACTTCATCCAAACGAAGTCTCTGAGCGATTTTGAGCTGCGTTAGCTTCCCGCCGGATGAATGGTCTTTAAGGAGTCCATTGATGACGCCAAGGTCTCCCTCCAGGATGTGCATAGAGGTGGGGAAGCAGCTGTTTTTTAGCACAAGAAGCCCGTTCCAAGCGAGCTGCAGTGTCTGAGCGTATTCCGATAAATTCTTTAGCTTTTTGGTCTCAGATTTTGGCTCCTCGTGAGTTTTTGATTCCGATTCACCAGTTCGATGATTGCGTTCGCTGTCCCTTTTTTTAGGCTGGGGAGCATCAGATGTCTCACGATGGGGTTTCTCCTCAGTCGCATGACGATTGTTCTGAAGGGAGTTGCTCTGCTCTTTCTCGGCTCCAGATTCTGTAGTGTGATTCTCCTTGCGAGCCCGGTCTGGGCTGCGGTCTAAAGCTGGCCCACTGGCCTTTGTCCTGCTTCTGTCCTCGTAAGGCGAGTGAGTAGTCCTCCCGCGGTCACTCGAAAGACTCCGGCGTTTCCGCCTCTCTTCCCACGGTTTGGGCACGCTGCGATCGCTGTCGCTGCCCCAGCGCTCTCCGCTCCGGCTACGCACTGATCGGCTGTAGCTTTCCAAGTTGTTTCTGCGTTCAGCATTTTTGGCAGGGCTGGCCCAGTCTGCCTCTGCAAAGCTCCTGTCTCTGTCCGAGTACAGGAGGTGTGGAGGAGTCCTATCTCGCACTCTCAGATCTTGCTCCAGGCTTCTGTGTCTGCTGTACCCATCAGCGAGCAGTTCGTAGTGCACGGGAAGCGGTGCAGGCTGGTACTGCTGCGGGTATCTCGTCTCTTCTGCTTTGGCAAAATCCACACGGAGTCTCCGCTCCGGTCCGCCCAGAGGAAAGCCCCTCATCTGCGCGCAGGCAGCCTGAGCAGCATCCAAGCTTTCGTACTGGATGTAAGCGAAGCTGTCTCCCTTCACGTAGTCAATAGTCCTGATGCTGCCAAAGCGGTCGAACTCCCTGGCCAGGGCAGCCAGGGAAGTACTTGGACCAAGACCACCCACCCACAGCCTGGTGGTCGGGTTGGCTTTCCCGTAGCCAATTTTGATAGGGTTCCTGCCGACAACACGGCCCGACATGGCAACCTTGGCCCGATGCGCCATGTCCAAGTTTTGGAACTTGAGGAAAGCATAAGCCCCGCCTTGGCCCCGGGCAGGGCGCTTGATTACCACTTCTTCGATGATGCCGTACTTCTCAAAGGCACGTCTCAGCTCCACCTCCGAGACGTTGTGGTCCAGGTTGCCGATGAAGAGGTTGCGGGTAGCTCTCTGATCGTCCTCGGGCATCAGGTCTTCCTCAG